AACATGTTGCACTCCCACAGTCCAGCAATACACGTGCGCCATGTTAGCATAATTATGGTTCACACCTTTGTCAAGGCCAAGTGCATTTCATCATACATATCATGCAATAGCAATATTGCGCATCGCTATGAGACACCTATGGGAACCGTCGGCCACAGTTTGTACCTCTGACTAATGCTTATGCAACCATTAGTATAACGGAGCCAATGCATTAGGCATTGCAGCGATGTCAGCATAATTCCATTTCACACGGTTGTGAAATCAGTGCATTGCGCATACCCAGTTACCTGTGGGAATTCAAGGCCAAGGCGGCTCACTGACATCGCGTATGTCTGGCTATAGAACAACGGCTGCGGAATAGGCTATAAAGGGCGGCAGAACTCGGAGCAGGGGCAGTTGCATCGGGGTGTTACTTTTGTAAATTAGGTTTACTTATTTACGTCAATAAAGTGCTTCTATTTAACGTCCAAATTATCTCTTTCAATTCCAGGGCAAGTTGGCCCTTTTATTTTTTTTAGTTATTCAGGACCTTCAGTCCTTGACTTGTAAATTAATGTAACTACACGAGTGTTACCGAGTTTACTACTGAAATATATGTTGTTAATTCTTTGGGAATTTTGTGGGATAAATTTTAAAGATGTGTGTAATTGAGGGATTTTTTCCCAATTCTCGTGGGTAATTTTACAGAGAATGTCTGGTGTCACTGCTATCTAACTCACATAGCTATTTATGCTTTGTAAACAAATTACAGTTATGAAGATTAACTTATTGCAAACACATAGCTAACGAAACTGTGCAATGTTTAATCTACCACGAGATAGTGGAAGTAATAATTTTAAAAGACAAACCTTGGTCGACAATAAAAACATCTTTGCTACAAAAACAAATAATTGCGCAAGGCCACTGTAAAAACAATGCAATTTAAAAGTAAAATAATGCGAAAGACTTAAATCAACACGCAAGCAAAAAGAGAAAATTCGCAAGCAACCTATATGGATACGCATGCAATGCGTATCTCCATACATACCTACGTGCGTGCGCCTTTAAGTAACTTGAGACCATTTTCTCGAGGCCTGTTAAATTTATCGATTTTCCCTTCTCCAAGTTCACTAAATGGACCACCAATATCATATTTTTGGTTGACTTATTCAAAAACCGAGGAACGTCCATCTAATCTGCGGGACGCAGATCTTTAAAGGGGGAGGAGCTAACACATCCGCCAACATGTTGCATTCCCACAGTCCAGCAATACACGTGCGCCATGTTAGCATAATTATGGTTCACAACATAGTTGACATCCTACACCTTTGTCAAGGCCAAGTGCATTTCATCATACATATCATGCAATAGCNGTCACCCAACATGTTGCACTCCCACAGTCCAGCAATACACGTGCGCCATGTTAGCATAATTATGGTTCACACCTTTGTCAAGGCCAAGTGCATTTCATCATACATATCATGCAATAGCAATATTGCGCATCGCTATCAGACACCTATGGGAACCGTCGGCCACAGTTTGTACCTCTGACTAATGCTTATGCAACCATTAGTATAACGGAGCCAATGCATTAGGCATTGCAGCGATGTCAGCATAATTCCATTTCACACGGTTGTGAAATCAGTGTATTGCGCATACCCAGTTACCTGTGGGAATTCAAGGCCAAGGCGGCTCACTGACATCGCGTATGTCTGGCTATAGAACAACGGCTGCGGAATAGGCTATAAAGGGCGGCAGAACTCGGAGAAGGGGCAGTTGCATCGGGGTGTTACTTTTGTAAATTAGGTTTACTTATTTACGTCAATAAAGTGCTTCTATTTAACGTCCAAATTATCTCTTTCAATTCCAGGGCAAGTTGGCCCTTTTATTTTTTTTAGGTATTCAGGACCTTCAGTCCTTGACTTGTAAATTAATGTAACTACACGAGTGTTACCGAGTTTACTACTGAAATATATGTTGTTAGTTCTTTGGGAATTTTGTGGGATAAATTTTAAAGATGTGTGTAATTGAGGGATTTTTTCCCAATTCTCGTGGGTAATTTTACAGAGNATCCTTGACTTGTAAATTAATGTAACTACACGAGTGTTACCGAGTTTACTACTGAAATGTATGTTGTTAATTCTTTGGGAATTTTGTGGGATAAATTTTAAAGATGTGTGTAATTGAGGGATTTTTTCCCAATTCTCGTGGGTAATTTTACAGAGAATGTCTGGTGTCACTGCTATCTAACTCACATAGCTATTTATGCTTTGTAAACAAATTACAGTTATGAAGATTAACTTATTGCCCACACATAGCTAACGAAACTGTGCAATGTTTAATCTACCACGAGATAGTGGAAGTAATAATTTTAAAAGACAAACCTTGGTCGACAATAAAAACATCTTTGCTACAAAAACAAATAATTGCGCAAGGCCACTGTAAAAACAATGCAATTTAAAAGTAAAATAATGCGAAAGACTTAAATCAACACGCAAGCAAAAAGAGAAAATTCGCAAGCAACCTATATGGATACGCATGCAATGCGTATCTCCATACATACCTACGTGCGTGCGCCTTTAAGTATGCTACACGCAAGTAAACGACATAGTACATTAACAGATAAAACCACAGCGCTGCTGAAGAAGACAATGCAGTCGAAAAAGAGAGATAGGGAGCGTAAGGGAACAGCAAGGAAGCTGATTTTGTCAACAACTTTTTACATACATAGTAAGCGAGAAAGTATTTTATTTATTTCTTTTTTTTAGTTTTTTTCTGCTGCTGTCATGGACAGCCCACATATGTATGCGCATGTTTGTGTGGCTTGTTTACGTAGAAAATTTTAAATGAATGCGGGACCATACGTATACCTAAAAGAGTATACACAAAATGATAAGTGAACTGGACAGCAAGGACCACAAGCTGAACTAAAGTGAAATAAAACGTAATAGAGTGGAAGAGTGCGAGCCAGAAACAGAGCATAAAGTTAAAGTGAATTTGAGCAAAGTTAAGTGGGGCGAAGTGTGGAGTGCAGTCGAAGTGTAGATGGGATTGGGTAACTGACCGTCGCATAGCAAATGAACGCTTCAAGTGGAAGTGTATGGGCTGCAGAGATTATCGATGAGTTTGCAAAAGGCAGCGAGCGCAACGAGACAGCCAAAGCAGCGGTGACGACAAGCGGGGGTTAATAAACGGGGAAAGGGAATGTTAGCGAGCAGTAAAGGACGGTACACCACAACATTTTCTCTGATTTGGTGTGATCAGCAGGAAATGCGCGCACACATCCATACAACATTAGGTCTAGTACATAGCTAAAAACCTAATAAAAGGCGTTCAATTGGAAAGGATGTGTAAGTCACATTCTTTTTTTTTAATTTTATATCATACACAATATGCTTAAATATGTAGGTCGCTGTGGCACACACCACCCACACCAATACAAGTACACATGAACTTATTTCATCAGACACTAGCACGCACTATGCGTCAGCACCACGGTCAACAAGCGCGTCTTCATCGTAGTCACAGTCTACATGCGCTCCACAACTACACCTACACAAACTCCTCAGCTGGCTATAAGCCAAGCAATCGTTTGTTTGTGCCATCGCCGCGCGCTACGTCTGTCAATCAATGTGGTACGGCGGTCGCATTTTACGTGCGTGGCATGCCAACTGGCACGCATGTGTATGCTTATACATACATACATATATTTCTATATACATATATTTATTCGCATATAAAAGTATTTGGATGCTTGTTTTCCTTATTTCCTCTGTTATTGTTGCTGTTGTTCCGTCGTTCGCTCGCTCGCTGAATTTGTGTCACTGGGATATTGAAGTTTAAGTTGCTGCTGTTGTTTTTGATTGCCCGTAATCTGCGTATCTTTTGCATTGTTGTTGTCATTGGCGCTGAATGTATATAGATACATATTTTGTACATACAAACATACTTACGAATATTGTCCAAGACTATTGCTTGCTCTTGTTTTGCGTTCATCTTCTTTTGCCACAGCATCGTCTTTCTTGGCGCTTATTGCCAGCATTATCCCCTTTGATTTTATTCCGACCATTATTGTCTCCGTTATTTGCTGGTATGAGTATTTTTTTTTGCTGCTATTTCTATGCATTTGTTGTTATTGCTATAGTTGTTGTAGTGGCTGCTGTTTTCGTTGTTGCATGCGGTCGTTTATTTTGTTGCCATTTCCAATTTGATTTGCTTGAGTGCGTTTTGCATCCGTTGCACAATGCTGAGTTGGCTTTCTTATGATTTGTTGTTGTTGTTGTTGTTGGTAGTTTTTGGTCTGCATTTTCCTTTGTTTTTGCTTTTATATGTTGCATTTACGCAACTTTGTCCGCGTAAGGTTTTTGAACTAAGAGCACTGGGTTAAGTATACTTTTGTGACACTAATTTAATTCTTGGTGGATGTCTTTTAATTTGACCCCTAAATATTTATGTATATAATTTTGATTTCGAGTATACATTGACTACGTACATTCGTATAAAAATCAAGGCTTTATCATCGTCATCATTACCTATGGTGCCCTATTATCTGCACAACTCTTCCTCTAAGCATAAATGACTCAGAAAGTTAAGAAAAGTGATCGATGGGAGGCGGTGCATGTGTTCGTACCCTACACCACAGAAGAGCGACTGTGGGAATGATGAATCGGTAACTATCTCGAACCTGCAGCAAAGAAAGGCTACTAGCCGATTGGAGTTTCATTTACTGCCATGATGCTTCCCAAATTGGTACACCAGCCTTCCGTTAGTTGTAAGCTTCTCATCATCATCGTTATCCTCGTTATCATCACCATCATAATCATCATCATCACCATCACCATTTTCATCATCATTTTCACCATCATTATCGTCATCATCACCATTATCGTCAATATCATTATCATTATTATCATCATTATCATCATCGCAGTTACCATAATTATCATCATGATCATGATGATGATCATCATTAAAATTAGCATAATCATCATCATTATCATCATGGCGATCATTTTCATCACGATCGTTATTACCATAATCATCGTCATCATGACAATAATCTTCATCATCATCATTATCATAATAAACTTTATCATCATCATTATAATTGTTATCATCATCATCATAAATAATTATCATTTAGCTGAGCTAAAGGGGTTACAGCGAACGGTCCGTATATCCTTGCTCATCAATGTTTCAGTAGGCGAGAATGCCACCTTGGTAAATTGGCTAGCAGACCAATGCTGCTTGGGCTTAAATCTTAGCTAGATTTCAAGTATGTAAGCTCAAGATTCGTCGGTATTAAAATGTTCGCGCAGGCTCAGTTGAGATTTAATTTAGATTTTTTGTCTGACCACACTCTGAACACAAAACCACAGAATAACTTCAGCCAATGCCCGCGTAGCTTAATAAAGCCGATTTTTTTTCTTCGAATCTGTCGTCGAAACCTGTATTATAGATTAAATACTTTTTTGTTGCTATGTATATACTAAATAATAGCACTTGTATAATTTTTTTTTTAAACATGTGTGCCGCTTTCGACGTTAATTTAATTTTTTTATAAGCTTTTATTTAACTTGGTCATCCCGCGCAAATCGCGGAAATTTCCAATCGATTGTAAACTGACTTCCCGACAAGTTGGAGACTTGAAATTTTCAACATAGTTCCAATCCCGATGACACTGCAATTTAAAAAGTAAATGAATTCTCCATATGGTCCAGGGGTCTTGATTCAAAGGCGGTCAAAAAATAGTAAGATTTATGGCTAACAGAGCGTAATTTGCCAAAGAACGTAAAACCACTATAAAATTGTTAAAGCTGCCGGCGCCCCGCGGCGGTAGTGTAGCAAAGCTATTCCTAGTCTAGATATGAACCTCGTTGTAGGCATCATATCAGGGAGATACAATTAAAAGACTCCAGATGTCGCTCCATTAGAAGAAGTTAAATATAGCGCCTAAATATATGCCATGCTACAGCGGAAATGGACGGCACGCCATTTCTTTAAATAAAATTAACTGCTGCTATATGTACATATGTATGTTTAAACAAAACGTAAGCAAACAACATTTGGCTTGCCAAGTCTTCTGTTCTCTTTCATTGCAAGTAGAATTATTTTAATATCTATTTCAAAATTTTGTACATAAAATAAAATAACACTTTTTAATATACAACGCTTTTATAAATGGACTAAAAATTTTAATATAATAAAATTACTAACAAATTGTACTAATTTATTTCGTTTTTAAAAAAGCTTGTCAGCGAATTCAGCGTACATGCATAATTGGTTAGGTATGTATGTATATGTATGTATGCAGATATTTAAATACCAGTTTGCTATTCGCGCGACAAGCTTTTTTAAAAACGAAGTGAATTAGTACAATTTGTTAGTAATTTTCATTAGAGTGTGAATAACTCCTTTCACTAAATGGCTTTTAGTAACTTTAACGAGATCATAACTTATTTTATTTTATTCATTTTAGTGCAGTTTTGACAAAATTTTCATGCTAAAAAATCTTTTGTTACACTACTTCATTTTATTCCTTTGATTGTACAGGTTAAATAAAAGCTTGTTTTTAAAAAATATTTTTTTTACATTATTTTATTTTTTTTTTTATAATTTCCTCTAATGCAAATAAGTACATAATAAATTTTTCATGTTATTTTATACTTTCCTCCAACTCTTCATCATCCTCTCTTTATCCAGCTATACATCCCGAACATATAATTTATGATTTTGACAGTGTATTTTGTGGCATAATTTTTGGCGCACGCACAAAACTATTAAGCTAGCTTTTTCTCAGTAACTCATACTTATATTCAAAACTGATAATTAAGTTATTAGAAACCACAACAACGGCAGGCAACAAACACACACCAAATCTGACAATCTTATTGTATGTACACCAAGGAGTTGTGCGGCGTCGTAAAATTTTGATTAATATGATGACTCGAATTTTGAGTGAGGTATCATTTGGCATGGCTGTCAACCAACTGTGCGCCGATATGTATGCATGTGTGTGAGTTTCCTGCTGGTTATTTTATGGTTATAATTTAAAAAATACGTGAATATAAACAAGTGATGATTGCATGTTGAGGGTGAGAAAGTTTGGTGGTTTAGGTAGGGGTCGTGGAGGCAATGTAAACTTTTTGACTATTCCAGCCCGTGGGCTGATAACTTTATGATATTTTCATTAATTAAGGCCACAGGGGATACTGTTGACATACAGTCACACACTCATATACATATACGAATAAGTAAACTTGAGCGTTAATTAATAGCGACACATGGAATCCCAAGGCATCAAATTGGGTTTGAAAACAAGAGAAAGGGTTTGAAAAAATTGCGTAATGGAGGCCTATATGAATGAACGAAGTTGGCAAAAGTTTTGAAATGTCAAAAATCAAAGAGGGCCGTTTGACATTAGTGGTTAAAGGATACCCCATTTTTGTTATTTTTGGCTTTAGAGGCTTTAAAGGTTAGCGAACATGAAGAATTAGTGAAAGTATTGACTATTAGTGAAAATTTATAATATATAGATCAATGTAAACGTTTGTAGCTGTATGGCTTTACAGCGCCTAAAAGTATATAAATAGCAGTTCAATATGTGCCAAAATTACATGGAAGATACACTTGTATAGTGACTTTCTCCATTTTTGTTTTAGCTGAGGTACAAATTTCTCATTTAATTTATTTTAAGACTGAATATTCTGCTTTAGCATGACATATTTTAAGACGCAGCTGTGTCATATTTCACTTTCTAATACCCGCGCTACTAATTTATTGCCTATGACTTTAATCACAACTCAAATGTGCTGCTTGCCGTTATCTCAGAGCGGCTTTTATATGGAAAAAATCCGCCTTTAATGCTCTACGTAGCAGACACGCATCACACCCTTATTTTTCTTCACTTTACATACTTATCTCATTGCGTAATCACAAAAAATAAATTACACAATTACAATACTGTTGGTTTTCAGTGACTCGCAGCTACATTAAAAATTACCAGGCAAGCGCCTCTAAGTATGCAACAATTCAAATTTTCAAATGGGTTCAATCTTGCGCATTCTAGTTATAATTTATTGCTAAATGGTAATTACCTACTTGTGTTCGGAAGTTAATATTTACAAAATCCCTCAGCAATTTTAATATTTTCTCACATACGCAATCTTGTTCTAGTTTCTTTTTTATTGCATACTTTTAGCTGCTGCATTTTAATAACATGACTCATTACACACAAAAATGGTATTGACACATAAGCAGTGATATATTTTTGCATGCACGTATATGTAAGCAAGCTCATATACTACACCAACAGCAAGAGCTAATGTTTTTTTTGTCCTGTTAACACTTTAAATATATAACAATATATCAGTCCATATACGGATAAAAAGTTGACTTTTGTTTGACTCTATCTCCATCT